CGGGCGCCGCTGGCTGGTGCTGCTGCTCTTCTCGCTGCTCGCGTTCGCGCAGGGCCTGGTCTGGAACACCTGGGGCCCCATCCAGAACTCGGCGTGCCAGGCCTACGGCTTCTCCAGCTGGGACATCGCGCTGCTCGTGCTGTGGGGGCCCATCGGTTTCCTTCCCTGCTTCGCGTTCATGTGGCTCCTGGACAAGAGAGGTGAGGGGGTCGGGGAGCGCCGGCCGGCGCTGTCACTCCTGGGGAGCCGGTGCCTGCCCGCGCTCCGGGACTGCCTGAGCCTCTCTCGGCTTCGTCTTCGGGGTTGTGTGAGGTGACGGAGTGTTGCTGGCATCCCATACCTGCCTTAGGAACCTTCTGTTCCCAAAGCGACAAATATGAGAAGGATGTTTTGCAAAATTTATGTTTTTATCAAGGCCTTTTATGCAACACCAGGGGTTTCAGATCATCCCCGTGCACGTGCTGTGTGTGTTTTTTACACCTGACAAAAATGACTAACGCTTTGACTTCGAAGGGATTTGGGGATGTTGAGGGTGAAAGGTCAGAAATAGACTGATGATGCCCAGATGTAAGGAAGTAGTGAGTTGGTTGTGTATAATAGATGACTCCAGTGCAGGAAGAACTATTGGGAAACTCAGATCTGACGCTTTGGTTTCTGGAAGGTGGTGCAGGGCAGCTTTAAAATGTGCGTATGTGACTAGGTGGCTTTCTCAGTTGAGATTTATGACTCCCAGATAGAGCTTGCAGGTAAATGAAGACTGTCTTTCATAGAAGGAGTGCTGTAGACATCTCACTTTACCACTTGCCAGTGTGACTGTGAGGAGAAAAAAAAAGTGTCAAGGCATTGAATTATACCACTTAAGTATGGATAAATGGTTGGTAGTGATGATCTACCTTCAAGAGGCTGTATGTGACTGTGAGGAGAAAAAAAAAGTGTCAAGGCATTGAATTATACCACTTAAGTATGGATAAATGGTTGGTAGTGATGATCTACCTTCAAGAGGCTGTATTGCAAGATTTTAGATTTATTTCTTGGATAGTGATTGGGAACTACTTTGTATAGCTTCTGTTCGTTCAGCCTTTTATAAATTTTGTTGAAATAAAGATTTTTACTCCGATTTGGAAAGTTGTCTTAGTCTGCTGGAGCTGCTATAACAAAATACCGTGAACTAGGTAGCTAATAAAGAACAGAAATTTATTTCTCACAGTTCTGGAGGCTGGGAAGTCCAAGAGCAAGGTGTCATCAGAATCATGTCTGGTGAGGGCACACTTCCTACACAGTGTACTTTTTATTGTAACTTCACATGGGGGAAGGGGTAGAGGGATCTTTGGGGTATCTTTTGTGAGAGCACTAATACCATTCATGAGTATTCATGGCACTAATACTCATATCTAATTATTTCTCAAAGGCCTCCACTCCTAATTCCATCACCTCGGGGATTGGGATTTTAAAATTTGAATTTTAAAATACAAACATTCAGATCATAGCAAAAGTCAGGTATAGATAGGTAAAGAATTGCAGTTGTCTGGTAGTAGTTAGCACTAAAATGATCTGTTATTCAGTCGAATAGCAGGATGTTAGCAGTTATTTTCCCTTCTCCCCTCCTGACAGTTCCTTAGTAGGAATCCTTGTGAACAAGACTAAGGAATTGCCGAAGGTAGAGGGTGTAAGAATCAGGATGTGTAAGATGAAGGGAACTGGGTGTGTCAAGCTTCAAAAAGAAACTTGAGGCAGAACAAGCAAAAGAGGAATTAGACTTAATATGTACGGTTCTAGAAGGAAGAACTAAACTGAGTAAAGTTACAAAGCAGTACAAGGAAGAACCTTCTAACAATTAAAGTTATCCATCCCTAGAAGTGTGTGTCTTGACTGGTGTAGAACTTCCAGACAGAACAAATACTTATGCAGAGGATGTGTGCTAGAGGCTGAGGGAGGGCTTCTTGTACTGACTGGAGATTTTCTTTGGTGTTTTTTGGTTTGCTTTCAAACTAAATTGTAGACTTTATTTGGATTTCACCAGTTATTCCACTAATGTCTTGTTTTCCTGTACTAGGATTCAGTCTAGGGTCCCATGTTGCATTTAGTTGTTATTTTTTCTTAGTCTTCTCCAATCTGTGACAATTCTTTGGTCATTCCTTAACAGGATTGGCTAAATTTAGAGGGAAATGCTATTTCTGTAGCATTTTCTGTTTATTTTTCTGTTTATCAGGAGCATTTTTCAATATTATTTTCTAAATTTAGCCGAACTTGTTTTTATGGAAGGGAAATGTTCATTTTCACCTTTCTTATTAAAATTGTATCTATTATCCATGCCTATATAAATTAGAAACTACCTATTCACTTTTATAAAATAAGTTACTTCAGGAGTAACTTTTCTTAGTTCATGTGACTATATGGTGAGTTCAGTTTTCCATTTCCCATTGGTTGAAGCAATAAAAACTAAGTTTAAAAATTGTCTCTTTTAGGAAGCAGTGTTTCTTTTCAGAAGGAGAAAGCTAATACACTTTCATAGGTTGGTTGTCCTGCTACAGGTCTCTTAACTGAACACATAGAAAGCAAGTTCTCGCATCCTTGGGTACTAAAATATCTTGCTCTCAACAGAGTAGGTAGTTGTCTGGCCTTTGGCCACGGGTCTCACCCAGCTTAGCATAGTAGACCTGTTATAATCAAGCCAAAAAGATCTGATTGAGTTTGGTTGCTCATTGCACCAAGAGCCAATCACAGAGACAAAAAATAGTGCCAGGAAGAAGGATTTTATTTATGGCTGGGAGAACAGATGAGCAGAGTAATAATATCAGCCCGCCTCCCCAACTGACTAAAGTTTAGAGTTTTTAAAGGGAAAAAAAGAAGGCAAGTACATGCAGGGAGGTAGTGAAGGTGGAGATGATGGGATTTGCAGGGGGCTTGAGTCAGAGGTCAGGATTCCATGATGAAACAGGGTTCTTGGCATCACGGAGTCTGTGGTTGGTGGTCTGGTGAATCTAAAGTCCCTGATGTTATCTCAAAGCTGGAGTCATTATATCTTGGGAGAAAAAACTCAAAGACAGTGACCTTAGCCAAGCATCACTGGAACTTTAAAGTACCTGACTCAAACCCTTGACTAATGTGCTTGCCTAATACAGTCTTCTGTAAGCAAGGGTATAGGTTGATAATCAGCGTGGCCTTTGTTTGGAATGCCTTTGTTCAAGTGGGAGAACAGGAGGGAGACTTAGCTCCGATTATAACCCTTAAGCATGTAGAAGCTATGTAAACAGGCACAGGGAAGAAAGAGAAAACATTTCAGAGAAATCCCTATGGGGGCTCGTCTTCACAGTTATCTTACTAAGATGGATTTTGTACCCTCCCACCCCTTTTTATTCACCAGGAAGGAGACAGAAAAGGACTAGCTAGTGAAATAATAGGAAAGCCAAGAGCAAGTGTGCCCTAGAAGCCAAGTAAAGAAGTTTCAAGGAGATGGCAACCAAATGTGTGCTGTTTGCTTGGGATATAGCCCTCATAAAGCCTACTTCTAGTGAGGAGATTCAGGCAGCAAACAAAAAAATTAAATATTTAGTATGTCAGATGGTGATAAATGCTTTGGAGAAAAATGAGCAGGGTGAAGAAGGCAAGGAACGTGATAGGGTTGTATTATACTTTACATACAGTGTCAGGGAAGGCCTCACTTATAAGATCTGTTTGAGCAGATACCTGAAGGAAAAAGGAAGGCTGACATATCAATTCTGGACAAGACTGTCTTAGGTAAAGGGGGTCCTAAACTTAGGCATATCCAGAAAAGAGCAATGAGACCTGCGTGGCTGGAGTAAATCCAGCGAGGGAAACGGTGGAAATGAGGTCAGAGAGGTAGTGAGAGGCCGGATCATGGCCTGTGGGGCCTTGTAAGCCATTGTAAGGACATTGGCCATTAAGAGTGACGAGTGTTCACTCCATTGAAAAGCTTAGAGCTGAAGGGTAAAATAATGACTCTGCTATTGTCTTCAGAACAAGAGCCAGAGCAGGGAGACCAGTTAGGATAGTGGAATAACCCAGATGGGAGCTAATGGTGATGGCAGTGGAGGATTTGAGAAGTGGTTAGATTGCTGATATATGTTGAAAGTAGACTTGTCAGTATTTGTTGATGGATCGGATGTGGGGTGTGAAGGAAGGAGAGCAGTCTATGTTTCACAACTTTTATAGAATAGTGCTTCGATTTACTGAGATATAGATTGTGGAAGGAGCAATTTGGGGGCAGATGGCATGAAGGTTAGGGATTTGAAATGACTATTAGACATCCTGGTGGACAAGTTAAACTGTCAGTGGATATACAAATATGGAATTCAGGGAAGAGGCCTGCACAATAAATTTGTGAGTTGTCAGCCTATAATGCTACTTAAAGTCTTGGGAATAGATGAGATCACCTGTGACGGGTGGGGGTGTAACTTCTGAAGAGGACTGAGCCCGGGGACATTACAACAATTAGAGGTTGGGGAGTTAAGAAAGAACCAGTAGTGAGGACTGAGAATAGAGTCTTGGATTTAGCAACATGGAGATCTTTGGTGTTATTTAAAAGAATAGTCTCACTAGAGTGGTAGGGTGAGTTCAAAATAAAATGCAAGGGGAGGAATTGGAGATAGTGAGTGTAAACATTTCTTTCACGAAGTTATGCCATAAAAGGCAGCAGAGAAGTGGGGACGTAGCCAGAGGGAATGTGGCTACTGAGGTTTTTTTTTTTATTAAGGTTAGAGATGTTGAATCCTATCTCTGTAACGCAGTATCCTAATGGATCCAGTACAAAGGGCAAAATTGATAATGCTGGAAGCAGAGGGAGGAACTGCTGTAGTCATGTTCTTGAGTAAAGATGGTCTTAGATAGAAGTGTTGACAGCTTATTCTTCAGTAGTAACAGAAGAGAAGATAGAGTATACAAATACAGATGCAGATGGGGGGTGGTAGGGTCTTGTGGAAGTTATCTTTGCTTATGTTTCTTAGAAAATAGGAAGCAAAATTGTCACCTGACATGTTATTGAAGAGAGGAACAGCTACTGAAGAGAGGATAAGTTATGAAGCTATTTCTAGAAATGCAGAGAACATGTGGACTAGAAAATTGTAGTAGGATTGTTGGGCAGCACCAAGGGCCTACTTTAAATGATTGATCATTAATCTGAAGTGACACCAGTCAGCATGGTTGTGTGTTTTCCTCCAGCCTGTTCTGCTGGGCAAGTGCA